TAGTAATAACAGAAAAAGTAATAATTCATCCCCAGACACTTCATCCTGAAATATATATGAGTTCAGTGTTTGTCTTAACAGCTTCAAACCAATTTTTTTGTTGTCATATTTTTACCGTGACTCATCTCCAAAGTCAGCGCATCACATTTCCGCCCACAACCCTGGAAACGCACATTTATCCATACTCAGTTCATGTCAATATTTAATCTAATTAAAAAGCCTCTTCTCCCACACAGGCAGCTGCCATTTCACACTTCAACTCAGCAACAGAAGCTTCTCAGCTCTCATTTATTAAGCTTTCGCTCTCCCAAAAGTCCTCACTGCTTCGTCCCCGTTATGTCTGATTTTTTTTAAATGTGTTCACACTCACTTAATATCCCATCTGCAAAGGTTCTTTCATTATGCGCTCATGAAAATGTTCACTTCACTTGATTTCTACAGTTTCCACACTCTTTTCCATAAAAGGGTTGTTTTGTTCTTGTTTGCTCTCACAAAGTCTAATCCTGTTACAGACACCACTTCATTCATCCTCCAAACTAAAGCACATCACTAATGTTTACATGGCTACACTTTCAGAAAATGTTGCAAATTTCAAGTTGCAAAAAAACAAACATTCTTAAATTCCCTAAAGTGTCATGTTCTTTCCAGAAAAACTCCCACATGTCCTAAAATATTCTCATGTTGTAATCTCTGAGAGACCCAAAAATATTTGTTATGCCTGTTTTTAACATCTGTCATGCTGTATATATACTATTACATTTGAAGATGATCATAACAAACAAAGTACTCCCTGAGAGCCAGAAGCTCAGGCTTCAGACTGCTTTGTTTCCACTCCTACCTGCTGTCAATGAGGGCGGATATCTCTAATACGATCATCTCAGGCACACAGCTGTTCCTTTATTTCGTTTGAAAGAAGCACCAGTAAAAGGGAGCTAAAGCATCTTTTTTCAGACAGAAGATGACCTGAAAGCCTGAATTAAGGCCCAGTGTAACATTCAAGGATTACTTTGAACTGTAAGTCAAGCAAAGCTGATCTAGCCAAGACTAAAACTGTGGAGCCTTTTGGGTTGGTGGGTTTAAGACTAGTCTGATGCAAAAGCAGGTGAGTGTGTTAGCTGATGGACAATGATAAAATATGCAGGGCTTCATAATCCAAACAGAGCGGCCGACAGGTGATAGACGACAGTCTGTCCACTTCAGACGTACAAACAGACTCTGAGCGCTGGAAGCAATCCAGCTACGCTCACTTTTACAATTTCCACAACTAAGTCTCACAAAAATAAAATTTCTCTCAGGTGAAGGACGGTGCTGGGCATCATCATGAGCAGGTTTCAGTTGTAGATTACAAATGTATTAGGCAGGTTCAATATGTCTTCATTTCTCTGGATGATATTAGTTTGTTTTGTTTTATCCATACGGGCAGTTCAAAAATGGCCTCTGCTCATGTCCAAGGATCCATCTGCCAATCGACTCATAGTTTCTGTCCTTTAAATATGCTGTGATCTAGGGCTGCTCGATTATGATATATGCAAAAATGATAATCACGATTATTTTCGCTGAAATTGAGATCTCGATTATTTGACGATATTTATTTAACAATAACAATGT